GAGCAAAGCCGCGAAGTGCAGGGGCAGCGGGACAGCCCAGACGCGCCGCAGCTGTCCTGTTGCCCGCGTGCTCCGTGGCTTTGCTCCCCGTCTCCCTGGTCTGCTGGAGACGTGGAGCAAAGCCGCGGATCACGCGGGAGGCGGACAGCCCAGACGCACCGCAGCTGTCCCGCTGCCGGCGTCCTCAGAGGCTTTGCTTCCCATCTCCCTGCAGGGAGACGGGCAGCAAACCCCGTTTGTAACTGCGGATCCGACATAAGTCGGATCCGCGTAACTCGGGGACTGCCTGTAGTCTAAAAGGGGAGCAGTCTGATTACAGCCTCTTGTCATCAGATTTGGGCAGGAATTACTGCTGGCCTTTCCTTAAGGTGCTAAGACCCACTAGTGAGAATCCTGCAAGATAACATCTTCAGAGAAGCAGTGTTTAGAGGTAAGCAATCATCCCTTATCTACCACATGGGTATTGTGAAGATTGATGAATGTGATTTCCCCTTTGTTAAGAGGGTCTGAAGATGAAAAGCACTACTCGTGTGCCAAGTACTAGTAATAAAATGAGGCCTATCCGCTTTGTTCTGGTTTGTGGGTGAGTGACTCCCTTACTCTGAAGTGGCAGATGGAAAAACTGTGAGATTGTTTGTCCTTGTAATGCTTCAGAGAACAGTATTCTTGTACATTTCAAACCACACCTGCTCAGAAGAATGCTGCCTGCAGTGTGGAGGGATGCTAGTTTCTGCATATTTTTAGCTTTTTAGAAACCAGGCATTCTGTGTGTTGTGAGCATGTAGGTCAAAAACTAGGATTTTTAGCAATTTTGCAAATCTTGTTTTGTAGGGTGACTGTTTTTTCCTCAGAATGTAGTTCAACTTTGAATCTACCTTTTTTCTTTTTAAAGTGCAACAGTCTCGATGGTACCCATTTTTAAAATGTTGGATTCTTTTCAGTCCCTCACGCTCCCTCTTCTTTGCCTTTCTCAGTGTCTTACTTTGCTGGAGTAGAGAGAGAATGCCCATGGATAAACTTTTAATATCCTTGGAAAAACACCAGTGTTCATTAATCATAAGTCTCAAAAGGCTACAAAGATCTTGTTTTTCTGTTTTACCTTGTGCTTGAGGCAAAGTTCTCCATCTCAGGTATAAAACAATTCCATGAGAGGATTTTCTTAGGGAGCAATATGAAGGTCTCTATTTAAGCAGAAATTACTGTTTGGCTAGATGTGACACATACTTGACACACTAGCAGTATGTAATTGGGGTGTGGGGAAAAAAATACCCTTACTGAACACCCCCAGTGAGCAGTGCTTCTAGAAACTTGATTATAAAAGCTATTTCCAGTCTTAAGATCCTCTGTTATTGGCAGAAGGGTGGGAGTCAGCCCTGGGAACAAATGACGTCTTCAGAGACTATAATTACCTACCTGCATTCTTGTTCTGCAGCAGGTAACTGTTAATAGGTGCTCTGCTATAGATGACCAGAGGTGATGGGCAAAGGATTTCTTGGTTGTGTCTCTCTCTCTCTCTCTCTCTCTCTCTCTCTCTCTCTCATATATCTATAGAGTCCTGCAAATCGGCAGATATCTGTTATATATCTTCTGTTATCTGATCTGCAGATGTGGATGTCTGCAGCTCATTTTTAAAAATACATGATTTGCAGCAGCATCTGTCTAGAAATTCCAAATTTACAGTTATCTGCATCTGCAGATGTAGATACCTGCAGATAATTTCTGCAGACAGAGGTACAGATTTTTGTATTCGCACATTGCTTTATCTGTATCTATGATTTCCAAATATTGCTCATTTATTACATATTTATTTCTGTACAGAGCTTGGCATGGTGGGAAAAAAATCAATGCTTCATATTTGTTGGTCATGTTTGTATTTCCAAAAACACATACCACGTTTCTGAATTCCAGTCTTGATTGTTACTAGAGGTAGGTAAAAGTGAGTAGGACTTAGCAAAACATTGCCAAGCCCTGGGTGATGTATTTCTGTGCTAGCAGGTCATCAAATTTTGTAGCCTGCAGTGAACAGGAGCCCTTGCTAAGCTAAGCAAGCTGTGCTGTGTTAACTTGCCCATCAACATCATATGAAAGCAGGGGAGGATATATGGCAGTTAAACTTGCTAACAGTCACAGCCCCTAAGTGTGTGCCTGATGTTTCAACAGACTTGTATCCTCTTTTTCATTATTTACAATATGGGTGTAAGAAATGGGAATATTGTAAGGTATCAATGTAAGGATGAGCTGTTTTTCAACATTTGCCTCTGAATTTAAAGATATTTTTTCATATGTTTACCTCCCTCTTCCACCCCACCTCTTTAAAAACAAAACACAACACTCTTCTGGCAGCATCTAAAGGTAGGAAGATTGTTTTGACTAATGTGCTAGAGAATAGAGGTGTGTTTAAAGGGGTGTTCCTATCCATTTTTATGCATTAGTGTGAAGGATTATAACACTCATGTGGCTAGACTTGAGAAGCTATTTAAGGAATCTTTTGTGAAAGGACAGTAGACAGTTCCAGAATGTATTTGAATAAGGATTTTTTTTTCATATGTCTTGGTTACTGGTTCAAAATCTGTTCACACCAGTAACAGATTTAATGAATGAAAATCACTGTTTCCTGTTTCCAACTTTGCTTGCTAAAATCCCTTGCCCTGCCCCGCCTCTTGTGCTGAGGCCCAGATCTGAGACATTCCTCCCTGTCCTGGGACTCCCCTGTTTCCTGTACAGCCAGGCTGGGAGGAACTGAGGCAGAGCCAGTTACAGATGCAGCCCTACCTGCCTGCCCAGTGGAGATGATTTCGGAGGGGGAGTGTGTGTTGCTGGAGTAAGTGCCCTGGGACAACTGGGGCATGGCAGGGGTCTAGAGTGAGGGGTTTAGACAAAGAAGGGTTAATTCCTACAGCAAAGGGTCAGGGCCAGAGCAGTAAGTCACACTAGGAGTTGGTCCCCATAGCAAGGTTCCTGTCCCTGTAGCAAGGGCTGGGGCAATCCGGGCACAGCAGGGTCAGCCCCCAAAACGATAGGCTGAGGTGGAGAAGGACTGGCCTCTGTAGTGAGGGACCAGGGCAATGAGGGCACAATGGAGAGGTGGACAGGATCCTGTCCCTTCTTCTCTCTCCTCTCCCTCCCTTCCCCCAGCAACAGCAGGCACCATAGTTATACCTATGAAGAGGATATTGATATAAAGAAGGTCATATGTTGTGGGTGTTCTCCTCCCCTCCTTCTCCTCCTCCCTCCCCCCACTGTGTCCATTGTTATTTAGTGAGACAGTCTGGAAAACTCTGCTTAATAGCCACTTTTGCTTTCCAGTTAATTAACGTGTGGATAGGAGGAAAGATTAAACTGTACATTTGGTTGTGAGGGGGGAAAGAAGAGTAGCTAGATCTACAAACTACTTAAGCTGTCAGTAGTGACAATTATAACACACACCGTTTTGTTTTTCAATAGAGTAAATTTTTGGGACTTGAACTGAAAAATAATATTCTTCCACTAATATATATTTTGGTAAACCTGCAATAATGAATGTCAGGTCATTCTCAACATCTCATAAATATTGCACCACTTTGAAGTATAAGACACTTCCAGGGTATGTCTATGCTACAATGTTATTTTGAAATAACAAGGCGTGTCAACATAGCAAGCCTATTATTTTGCGATTATTTTGAAATAATGGGCTTCTTATTTTGAAATAAGCATTTTTCCTCATGAAATGAGGGTTTATTATTTCGAAATAGCTGTAGTGTGAACGCTCCACTGCTGCTGTTTCGAAATAGCTACTCCCCGGGGCCATTCAATGTAATTATCCCTTAGTGCTTCTTGGAGCTCCAAATCAAGGTAGCACGTCCACATTAAGGGAGCCTGCCTTAGACTACTTTTGAGGCTTCTCTGTAGCATGGATGTGCTATTTCAAAATAGTTATTTCAGTGGTGGTAATTCTGCAGTAACTTATTTCAAAATAACCTTGTAGTGTAGACATACTCTCAGAGTAGCTGTGTGTGAGGACAGGGACTTGTGGAGAATTTTCTCAAGTTAATTTGTGTAATAATATGTAGAATTTAAGCAGAGGACACCCCCTTACCACTTCCAAATACACTCTCTCTCCGCTATGCCTAATTATATCATGTTTTTAAACTGTTAGTTTAGCTACCTCATATCAGGTTTTATCTGCCAAGCTATTTTTATTTTCAGAGGTATCAGCGATAATGTGGGTATTCCCATCTGGCTTTATTTTTGTGCTGCTTTGGAGCTTTGTATGTACACATGCTTTACTAATCATTTTACAATAATGTAGATGCTATAATCCTGATGCCATTTCTAATGAAACATTACATCTAGGTAATGCTGATAAAATTAAACATGGAAAGGTAGCAAATAAAGCCCAGATTCTTTCTCAACCACCACCCATGGTTCTTGCCCACAAATGCACACTTATGTCTAATATAACATTGTGACTTTCATAGGCTAATCTTGCCCAATTATTGAGTGATTCTCGGGATCGAAATAAACATTTGGGAGAAGAAATTAAAGAACTTCAACAAAGACTGGGAGAAGTTCAAGGAGACAATAAGGTACTACAAATGGTTTTTCTTTAATAGGAAAATGACATCTAATGTGCAAACTGGACTATTCAGAAAAATTGAATGAAGAAATATTTTACTCTTATTTACAAAGTTGTAGAATATTGATGTTAGAAAAAATACTCAAAATGATGGAACAGAAAAAGTCTATGCAGGACACTAGTAATATAGGTTCTTGTATTATATATGTGTGTATATAAAAGAGATTTGGGCATCTGAGTCTGTCAATGAGACCTTTGTTCAAGAATGCCTCCTAAATGGTAAGAGCCAGAACCACCAAATTTGGTATGTAGCTTAGAGATGTAAGCAAGTAGTCGACTACCTGATAAGCAAAAACTTATCTGGTAGCCAACTACTTACCCCTTCCCCTTGTTGCCTCTAGACCCAGCTCCCCCCCAGCACTGTCTCTGTGGTCCTGCCTTCCTCCTTGCAGAGGTGGGATAGGGGAGGCTGCTGCGAAGGAGCCTCTGTCTGCGGTGAGCCAAGGCTGCTCGGTGAGCAGCCCCTGCCTGTGGCCAGGCCTGTCCACTGTGAACAGAGGCAGCTCCAGCAGCAGCCACTGTTCATGGCAGACAGGGCTGGCTGCTATCAACAGGGGCTGCTGGACTCAACTCGAGCCGGGACTGAGCAGACACAGCTCATGCTGGTTCAGGATGCTGCACCTCTGCATTTTAAATATAGTAAGAGTGTGGCACTTATCGACTAGTCATGTAGTCCATACATATTGTATCGACTACGCAATTAGTTAGATAACTGCAATTTAATATACTTAATGCAACTTCTGCTTCTCCTAACTTAAAGCAAGGTCAGGGTTTGGTTGTGCCAGGAAAATGGGAAGTGCAGGGAATGGGATTGTTTCCCACAACAAGGAAAGGGAGGGGCTGAGTGGAATGCTAAACTCAGTCATCAGTGGGGACAGCGAGTGCAGGGGACAGCTGTACTGCAAAGTGACCACTGGGGGCAGCTGCACCACCAAAGGATTGGCCACCTACGGATGTGACTCGCCATCTTGCCTGCCACCGGCCCTGTTAAGTGGGGCCCCCCTGGCCCTAAACCCTTACCTCTCCGCACCAGACAGGGAGGGGAAGCCCCGCTGCTGTAGGCCCTCCTCTGGGTGCACCAATGGGGCGTGGGCAGCGCAGCCACAGCCCCTGCTGCAGGAGCCACAGCTCTCCCATGTATCCCCCACCCCCGTGCAGCTGCAGCCAGCTTCATGGCCTTCACCTCATCTCTGTGCAGGGAGTGCTGGTAGAAGGCCTGCAGCGCTGCCCACCTCCCCTGCAGCTTCAGGTCTACCTGTCCCGGGGCTGAACCCGGGCAATGCTGGGTAAATCTTCTAGTGTTTTTGTGCATGCTACATACATTTATTTTTGAGTATTTATTGTGGAACCTGGTTTGGGTCCATCACCATTAGCTTCTGCTGTTTTATATGTTGTTAGTGATGTTTCTGTTCATAAATATATTTGGTTATGTGGTATTTTTAAGCATCTAATGCAATAATATAGTTTTTCAGTATATAATTAAACAAGAACACATTTGTATATTTGTCTCTACAAAAAACAAGAGCAGGTTGTCTTGAAATTGAAAAATATATTCTGCTTTGAACTTGAAATCATCCTGCTATTTATCTTTACATAACTGATTTATTTTATTGCCAAGTTTATTAGTGTATATGAAACATTGCTCAGAATCTGTATTTATCAAACTCCTGCTGTCTATTAATTGAAATATATACGCTCAAGCTAAATGTGCATGCCACTTGCAACTGGAGATATGCACACCAGACCAAGTATTGAGAGGTAGGATGTGGAACAGGTGATGGCGAGAGAAAGGTAAGCACCAAAACCAAATGTGTTCATGCAGAGCACCACTGGAGTAGCTTGCAGGACTGGGACCTAATAGCTGACTTAAGTACAGTTATAATGTATAAAACTGTGTCTATTCAAAAAGTAGTAAAACATAATTGGATGCAGTTATAGTGGTATAAAGGTGCTTATTCCAATAAATATATGTAAATATTTTTGCTTTGTTTCCTTTCACTCTTGATCTCCATCCTTTGTCTCAGTTCTCTTTTCTGCTCTTTGATTTTGCTTTCTTTCACAATTTTTTCCCCCATGTCATTGGAGACTAACTTTTTTTAAAAAATTTTTTAAGAGCATCCTGTCTAGCTCTTTCCTTCGCAGAGAAAGGGTGGATCCCTAGGGCACCAGCCTAGCACATGGGGAAACTCAGGTTCAGTTGCTTCCCTCAAAATAGGTATCATTTGTGACTTGAGACAAATCACTTAGCTGCTCCTTGCCTCAGTTCCCCTTCTGTAAAATGGAGATTACTGCCGTAGCTCTCACTGGTGTGATTTATAGATCAGAACTGCTGTAATACTATGTGACTGACTATGTAAGTACCTTAGATACTCAGACTTGCCTTGTATCTGTTTTCCTTTCTCCCTCCACCTCTTTTTAATGTTCCCTGCTCCCCATTTCCATCTTTGTCAAAGGTGCTGCTCAGTAAATGCTTACTGCAGTGGTCACCAATCAGTTGATTGCGAGGCAGTGTTCCCAGCCCCTCTTGATACCTCCCACTCGCAAGAAGAAGTCCACACTGGCACTACACCTTGCGCAAAAATGGAGCTAGCTCTGGCTTCCTGAGGCATGCAGGGGGATTCCTGCAGCACTGCACCAGATCTGGCTTCTCAGGAAGCACGCATGCTTTTGTGGGGAGCGGAGGAGCAGTGAGTGCTTCCTGAGAAGCCGGAACTGGTGTGGAGCTGTGGGACTTCTCTTGTCTTCCATTCCTTCCCTGTGCTCCAAGGAGGTGGGGGTTAAAATGGTGGTGCAGGATCCAGAGCAGCTGGATTTCTTAAGGAGCCACATGTGCGCTTGTTCCAGTGCTGCCTGCAGATCCTGTCCAAGAGATCCTTGTCCCTGAAGAGGCCAAGCTGCTCCTGCTTCCTCCCCCTGGCCTCTTCCCACTGGCCAGACATCTGCCTCCAGCTTGCTCCTGTACCCTAATTTCCTCTCCAATTCTGCACTCCCTCCCCACTCACTGGCAGCCTTGTCCCGCACACTAGATCCCTCATTTTTTGGCCCCACCTCTAAATGTAGAAGGGCCAACAAATCCACTAATCCTGGAACCCCAAAAGTTAATTTGGCCTGAGGCCTTGAACCTCAATCCTACTTAACCTCCTTCCCCCAATGGGGCTGGAGTGCCAGGGGAGTGAGGTGTCTCAGTTGGGGACACATCAGAGAGGCTTGGGGGATTTTGGAGAGGTTGTTTTTTTGTGTCTCACTTGTGTGGTTCCCACCCATAAATAAAGACAATGCTGAAAGTTTTGTGTTGGATGTAATATCTTATTTAAAAATGAAGCCTGACCATCAAGCCCCCAATTGGGGCCAAACCCTCATCTGATGGCAGCATCATAACACTCCTGCATCCCCCACAGACTCCAATCCTGAGCCCATCATACACCTGAACCCCCTGCCCTGAGCTCCTCACATCCCCAAACTTCTGCACCCCCCATATCTCAGTCTTGTTCCATAACATTCCTGCACCACCCACACACTGCAAATCTGTGTCCTAAACTCCTGAGCCCCTCAAAACCCCAAACCAAATTTCTGCACCCACATACCCACAAGCCTGCAGCTTGCTCAGCACCCCAACCCTCCACCAGACCCCAACACTCTCTCCAGCGTCCCTTTCTCCACCTTCTCCTGCATACAAATTCCCTCCCAGAACTTGTACCTCTCACCCATTCACACACCCAAATGCCCCATTCCTACCCCAGAGCCTGCACCTAAAACCCCAAACCAAATTTCTGCACCCACATACCCACAAGCCTGCAGCTTGCTCAGCACCCCAACCCTCCACCAGACCCCAACACTCTCTCCAGCGTCCCTTTCTCCACCTTCTCCTGCATACAAATTCCCTCCCAGAACTTGTACCTCTCACCCATTCACACACCCAAATGCCCCATTCCTACCCCAGAGCCTGCACCTCCTGCCTCAACCTAGTAAGAGTGAGTAAGGGCTGGGGACAGCAAATGATGGAGAGCGCAGGGTCTCAAGTAAGGAATGGGGTCTTGGCTTATCCTGATGATTTAAAAAGTGATGTTGGATGTAAAAAGGTTGGCGACCATTGGCCTACAGTGGTGTACAGATTGTACCTTCCTGGTCTGGCAACATCCATGGTCCAGCAGGACCACAGAGGCCGTTGAGCCAGAAAACCAGTGGCAGGGAGTCAGGCAGTGGGAGGACCAGCAGCTGATGGCCCTGACTCCCAGCCCAGCAGAGCTCAGACTGGCAGCAGTCCAGCAGCAGATCTGGGTCTGGCAGCTGGGAACCCTGCTGTAGGGCCGGGGTGGCTCCTTTTTGGATATTCATGATGTGATAATGCTGTTCATTCTCCATTTACTTGCAGTATTTTCAGGTAAAAAGGAGGCGAGTGCAGAACTTCTCATACAATATGTAGTAAAAACAACCCTCTTCACACCCCTCCCTGTTTTTTCTCCGCTGTACTCCGTTAAGCCCCATGCTGATGTGGGGGCAGTGCAGAATCTTACAATGCTGGGCCTTTTGCTTCAGGCCGACAAAGCCTCCTTGTCTCCTGGGAAGCTCAGCCATTTGGTGACAGATGGAGGAGGTGAGGCATACCTTTCCCTTCGCTTGAACCATGATACATCCTCAAGGTCCACTTTCATAGAGTGCTAGTTAGTGCACAAAGCACAAGGCCTTTATGTCTGCGCTATGTGCAAGAAGTGCTTCCCTCCCTAATGCACCCATACGTGTATGTGTAAATATGGTGCTGTCTGAAGAAAAGAACAGAGCATGTTAGTCACCAAGTGTGAATGTGTATAATATGCTCTCTTGTTGAGCAGTCTGAAACCCAGTTCCAGTTTTGTTTCCCCCTCGCAGGTTTTGTCATTGGGAGTGAAGCTGTGGACTACATACATGTTTTGTACTAGCATACAGGTTGGACCTCCCTAGTCGGGCATCCTT